GGACTGAGGGTGTTGGGTGGAAAGAGTGAGAGAAGGGGAATAAGGAGCATTACAATTAGCACACATAATGTACGGGGGGTGGCATGGGGAAGGCAGTATAGCACAGAGAAGACAAGGAGTGACTCTATAGCATCTTACTACACTGATGGACAGTGACTGTAGTGGGGTATGTGGTGGGGACTTGATAATGAGGGTAGTCTAGTAACCACAATGTTGCTCATGTAATGGAATATTGATACCAAAATGAAAAATTTTTTTAATGAAACAGTTTGAAAATAAAGTTCTTACCCAGTACAGTAGAAAAAAGGAAAGGCAAAAAGTACCATTATTTCCCTAATTTAGAAAATGCTCTAATATACTGACAATTTTTTCAATAAAATAAGGGAAATGATCAAATATGTTAGTTAACACAAGCCAGACGTTTACACATTACCTCATTCTGAATTTTTAAAATACAAATATGTACCAAAAAAATAAGATGGAAAAGTATTTCAAAGCATCAACAGGAATTATCAGTAACTGTTAAAAGTGCGGGTGATTTAAACTTCAGAATTTTTCAGTATGTCTACAATAAGAATATGGAACCTTTCTAGTAAGGAAAAATTAAGTGAAAAGAGAAAAGGAGCCCATCCCATTTGGCTACAGTCTGTCATGTCTTGGTCAAGTCATTAAAGTTTCCACCTTTCTTTCTCTTTCTGAAAATATTAGAATTCTTATTAATACACACTTGATCTATACATAATACTTGTAGATACATAAGTACTATCATTATTAAATACACAAGAAACATGAACATGTTTCATGAATATAGTGGTTATCAATGGTTATCACTGACAACACAGATGGCCTGAATAGCATATTACACATTTGTAGTGCTTTATGGTTTACAAGTTACTTTATAGATATTCATACTGAAGCTATGAATTTTGAAAAACAGAAGTTCAAATATTAATTGGTTTAAGATGGTATATACTTAGCAAGACTTACCAAATTAGAAATACAAACTTTGAGATTGCATCATAGTAAAATTAAACCTCTAATTTTAAGAATCAATTCAAACTTCAGAATTAAATGTCTACCCAAAAATGTTACATTATTATTTAGTACCTATGTACTTATAATCAAAAACCCTAAAAGTGTGTAGCTTATTAAAGGGCTTGTTATGGACAAACAATATTAAGATAGGTAAGATCCTATTCTGTTACATTTACCACTGCTTTTAAATTCCTACAATTACCATGAAATTATGCCTGAATTTGTGAAAATACATAAAAATATTGTGATTCTTTTATTTTGCAAAACAGGGTATTCATAATAATGTGTTCCATTCAAAGAGATCACGGTAAAGTTTATACAGTATACCTAGTAAGAGCATAAACTTTTACCTGCCCTGGGATTAAGTCCTGTTCAAATCTTGGCTCTACTGAATATGGTCATGTGACTCTGACCAAGTTGTATAAACTCTAAACCTTGGTTTTCTTATCTGAAAAGGGTGATAGAGTACCTACCTCAAAGAACTGATAAAGTATCCAACACAAACTGCTCAATAAAGTATTCTGCTTTAAAAATAAACTGCAAACAGAATTATTCTGCAAATACTGTATCAGAGTATCTTGAGCTCTAGCCTAGATATGACTGATAACTAAGCTGGTGACAGGCGATCTTTAGCAAACCACTTAGCCTGAGGTTCAATTTCTTCACCTTTAAAATTTGGATAGCAATATTTGCTCCAGCCTAAAAAGGATAGTTAGGAGGGCCTATTTTTAAAACATCTGGTAAACTGTAATTCACCCACCACACTCAGAATAAAATCCACACTGAAAACCATTTCACCCTGCTCTCAGAAAAATTTACCTTACCAACGCAAATAATAACCTCAATTTACTCATGAGCTAGCTACGGTGATGGCCCAAAGCATAACTTCAGGCCTCCAACTTCTCAACAACACCCAGACATGCTTTGGACTTAGTAAACTGGTTCACAAGGAGCTATAAAAGCAGCAAATATACAAACTCAAGAGAACAAGCACAGGAATACAAACTTAACTTCCTAAACTAAATGCAACCCCACAAACGATAGTAGCAAAATTCAACAATACATTCCTAGCTTTTAAAATGCCATAAAGGAAAACAAACTCAAATCTGTTACTACTGTTGAAACTGGTTATTCTAACACTGCAACTAAATGCTGTGCTGAAATGTAATTTCAAGTTTCAGGATATTTGTCAAAACCATACTAAAAATGGAGATAAGGGGGTCCTGATTATGGAGTCCTTAGCCTGGTTCCACAGACAGGTTTCAAGGGACCCTAATCTGCAGACAAAACTGTGTCTATATACCTGTATATCTCCATGGTGACAGTTTACAGCTTCAGATTCTCAGTAGAACTAGAGGTATAACCGTGAATATTAATACTCTGATCAAAAACTGATGACAAAAAGAAACTATTTACATCTTTTGTTACCAATCTTTATTTCACCTACATTAATTACACTGTCAGATTTGAAAATAAACATTTCATATAAAGTCTTACCTTTATTAAAAACTCTGTGCATATCAGATAAAAAGCTATACTATGTACAAGTAGTTCTAACCTGTTTAAAACACAAATTTTTTTATTACATATTTACTGGTGTGTACAGACTTCTGTAGGTTTGACCAGTGTTTGTAAATTCGCCAAAAGGTTTTTAGTACTTTTAAAAAATATTATCTTTAACTGCAAACAAACCACCCAAAAATGTAATGTAATTTTATTTCTTCTCTTGGTTAAACTTTCATGGGGAATTATATTGAGATACGAACTCGGATAACATTATTTTGGGACCTTAATTCTGAATTTCTAATCAAGGATGAACTGCTAAGCACTTATTAAACAATTACCATGAGCAAGATTATAAGACATATAACTTACTTTAATTCAAGAAGTTTTATCAAGTTCCAACCATCATGCTCCTAGCCAGTCATAGATAAATGTTACCATGATAAGATACAGTAACACCCCCTTTCTCTGAGAAAACTTAAGTACCTTATGTTTGGGATACAGGAACTACACAAAGGAAAAATGAAAACAATTTTAAAACAACTATGGGGGTTGAGGGGGAAGTAACTTGTAAAAACTTGGAATAACCTACAAATTGTTGAAATAATTCTTTTAAAAAAAAAGGAAGCATCATCGTGAGATTAGTGCTTAGAAGGCAAATTTTTATGAGATTTAAATGAAATACTAAGGAACTGTGTAAGTACCGTTAGAGATCATTGAATAGAAAAATAGAAAACCCTTATATCTTCATTAAAACAGATTTCTTAGAGGGTGCACAAGGCCAGATTTTGTGAAACTGATTCAACTGATTCCATTTACTTCAAGGTAATAAAAGCTAAATTCTACTTCAATTCTGCACATTTCTAATTCTCCATAAAGCCATTGCAGTTGTTAGGACTCCTAAACAAAGTCCTAGGGGTTTTCCAAATAATCTTCAGTGGGACCTTTCATTATGTCTCTTTTCAAGATTAAATAAACATTAACAAAGTTTAGTTTCTTTAGCTAGTGTGTTTAAAATTAATCTTCCTAGTTAAGTTTAAGTATTTTTAAAACACCAATATTATTAAAAAGCAGTTTTTCCTTATATTAGAAAGCTATTCATTTTTCAATTTCAGAACAAAGCCATAATCACGTAACTTTTATCTGAGATATAGTTTACTGAAATAAGTACTAATAAGGACTTATGCTTATCTTATAAACCACCTGCACCAAAGTAAGAGCATCTCAAAATAAATACAAAAAAACCTTAAAGTTCTGGGAAAATTTAGAATGACACAAATACTTTAAAGTATAGTTTAAGTATGTGCAAAAGCCTGCTTCCACCTGTCAGAAGTAAATACACAGTTGAAAGTAAACTAGAGCCCTTCCACTCTTCTTATTGCCTCTGGTCATTAAAGTGAAATTCAAACACAAACGAGATGATAATTTTATAAAACAATTGTTTTAAAGGATCATATTAGAAAATAGGTAGTTTGGAAGTCTTTCGAAATATCACACACAGAACACAAATCCAAAAACCCACATAAGCTGTCCATAAATGAGCATTTTTCTCAATAATCAAGTTTTTGTAAATTAATCTTTTATCTGATTCACCAACTAGGCCTTTGGGCCCAGTAGTTAATCAGCTACATAATCTTGTTTCTTTAAGCTAAAATACCACATTACAAGTATCAGCAATGGAATAAATTAAAAGAATCTGGCTGGAAAAGATCAATGTACGCTCTGCAATAATCAGAAGTATACAGAATAATGCTTTTCATTCCTAGAGACAGGCCACGACTATCCCGGGATGGTATTTGTGATACCTTAATAAAACAGAATTTACCATGAAAGCGACGAATGGTGCGACAAAAAGAAACACAATTAACTAATTCCCCAAAAATAGGTATGAAGGTCCCAATAATCTATATCACAGTTCATTTCAAGCTATTTTAAGGGCTGGCAAGAGGGTATAATACACCCACACACCCCCAGGGGAGGGGGAAACCACCAACCTCCTCCCAGGGAGTTTAATGGAAATTAGCAGGTAAGAGAGGCCTCGGCAGAACGCGGAAAATCAAACAGGGCGGCCGGAGGGTCGAGGGTTCGGACTGCGGAGAAAAGCTTCGTCCTCGGACCCCACCTCCCCACACCTTCCCGGCAAGGCGAAGGAGGCGAAGGCTCATCAGTGCCTTCGTTAATTGACACCTGTAATGAGGAAACTTTCCGAGGGGTGAGACAGCCCAGGCCCGGCCTGGCCAGAGCTCGGCGGTGGCCCCCTCTCGAGCGCCCAGGTAACCCAGCCGGCTGGGCCCGAGGCGCCGCGGCGGCCGAGCCACCGCGCACCTTCCCGGGACGCTAGGCCCGCACGCCGCCCGGCTCGGCCACAGCCTTCCGCCGGCCGCAGCAGCCCGCAGAGGCCAGGGAGCGGCAAGGAGACCGCAAATCCCGCACCCCGACAGGCCGCCGCCGCGGCTACTTACTTTCATTTAACACCTCCACCAGGTCTGCGCAGTTCTCACACATCGTTCGGCCGCCGCCCCCCCCTCCCCCGCTTCGGATCGCACTGACTGATCCCGACCGGCGGGGGGGAGGGGAGAGAGGCGGAGGAGGGGGCGGCCGGCCGGCGGGGCGGGGAGGCGGCGAGGGCGGGCGGCGGCGGCGGGGACGGGGCGGGGAGGAGAGTGGGGGAGGGGGCCGGCGGTCCCCGGAGCGGGCGGGGCAGAGGAGGGGGGCGAGGAGAGGTGGGCAGGCCGGAGGGGCGCGGAAGCGCCAGCGGCGAGGAGAGGGGGGAAGGACGGGGGGAGGGGAGAGGGAGGGACGGTGGGAGTGGGTGGGGAGAGAAGCAGCAGAGTCACTTCACCGACCAGACGCCGCGGCCACCGCCGACGCCGCCGCCATTTTACTGGAGCGTTCGGGCTGCGCTCGGCTTTTTCCGCCCGAGAGAGGAAGCCGAGGAGAAGCACCTCGCGCTCCCCCACTCTGTTCACCTCCCGCCTCTCCCTCCGCACACACGCCGCGCGCTCCACACCCCGCCGCGGCCGACTGGCCGCCCTCCCTTTCCTCTTCCGTCCGGCCACCCCGCCCTCGGCCCACCCCCTCCGCGCGCTCGCCCACCCCGCCCAGCCCGGATCTCAGTCCGCGGCCGGAAGGGAAACTCGAAGCCAGGCGGCTGCGGGGGGAGTCCGGGTGAGTAGGAGAAGATGGCGGAGCCGCCAAGCCAGTCGCGGGTGCGCTGCGTCGCTCACCGCGGCTCACTCCGCGGCATCCGCGGCCCAGCGAGCGCCGGGTCACTCGCACCGCCCCGTCCCCCGCCCTGTGCTTCGTCGTTTTTCCTCCAGGCCCTCAAAGGGAAATTAGTGATTTCTCCCCTCCCGTGCTTAGGCTTTTGGGGTGGAGGGAGGCTGGGGTTTGGGAGAGCCGGGCCCGGACGGCGCCGCAGCCCAGGCTGGGACACACGGCCCCCTCCCCGCGGGGCTTTGTGAGAATGGAACAGCCCAGGGGCCGGCTTAACCTGCGTCGGGGTTTGTCTCTACCGTCAATTCCGTAAGGCCCTAAAGTCCTCGAGCAGAAAGACAACCTTGATGTAACTAGAAATGGCGGAGTGAAGAGTGATCACATGGCGTCTCCTTTTTACGCAGGAGGGCTCCTCACGGGTTGTCCATCTACTACTCTTAACCTAAAATAGCATAGTATGCTTCTCAGCGAAGAGCAAATAACAAGGATATTATTAAGATGGGAAACGGAAAATAAACAGGTGAAGGAAAGGAAGTCAGCTGAAGTTGGGTATTGTGGTAACCACTAGTTAACAGGAAAATCTTCCTCACACCTGCACTTAATACCTCCTCACTGATTTGTATATCCAGTATGTTTGTTTATATAGAGATGTGATTGAAAAGTCCAAAAGGTGTAGTATGCATGATAGTCTTAGAAATGTAATCAGCGCAGCTATGAAGGCCCTGTAGTAATTCTTATACAGTTTTTGCCCGACATGTTTTGTATCGCTCTGTATGCGCAGGTGATCCGCTGGGAGCTGTAAAGCTGTCTACATCATCTTCCCACCTTTACTATAAAACTTGAGTTTCTGCAGATTTGACTTTGGACCCTGTAGCAGACAAAATTCGTAGATGCCCCCAAAGATGCCCATGTCCTAATTCCCAGAATCTGAATACGGTACAGTACATGAGCAGCTGTCTACCCACAGACCGCTTATGTGAAAAAAATAAATCCCTTTTTCTTTGAGCCACTCTTCAGATTTCTATTACTTGTAGCTAAACAAGTTCCTAATACAGGTATTCTTTTGATAATTATTCATAAGTATCTGTCACCTATGCTTTTAGAGGACCCGTAACAGTTCTTGAAAATGAAGACAACTACCACCATAGATGTGGAGCATGAGGATGTGCTGAAGACACTCTTTTATCTTGAAAGAAATATTTTTTTAACAATTGCTTGCTGCCTTTTTTAAAAAGTGTGAATGATGGCTTAGCTTAAAATGCTTTGAGAATCTAGAGAATTATTGTCAGAAGTGCTCATCACTCTTCAGTCGTCACTTCAAAGCTCAATAAATTTTTTCTGCAAAGAGCCAGATAGCAAATATTTTAGACTTTATTGGCAGTCCAGGTGTCTTATCAGAACTACTCTGTTAGCACAGAAGCAGCCTTAGACAGGAGATAATGGTATAAGTTTGGCTGTGTTCGTTTATTTATAGACACTGAAATTTGAAATTCATATTTTTTTGTGTCACAAAATACAATTTTTGTTTTTTTGTACAACCATTTAAAAATACAAAGCCATTCTTAGCCCACAAGGCCATACAAAAGCATGTAACTGGCTAGATTTGGCCTATGTACTGAAGTTTACCAACCCTTTACCTACCCTAACTGCTTGTTAACAGATAAAGGCACTCTTGAGTGTGGGTTTAGTATGTGTGAACAAAGACTTTTTAGTATACTTGAAAGATATGCATTAAAAAAGAATAATAAAGTAGAATATCTGGTAAAATTCCCCTTGAGTCTTAGAAATCTGGATTTTTCAACCAGTAATCACTAATCACCTTCAATAAACGTCTAGCTTTGACAGTTTGAAGATTGATAAGGGTTATTCTTTTCAGTATTTGTATATGTCACCATCTAGTGGTAGAATTATGTTTTGAGTAAGATTATACACTGAAATTTCTAAATCCTTGAGTTTGCACTAAATTTGTAGTATATTCCTATGTACTTTCCTGAAAACTAGCCCCACATAAACAACTTTGGAAAATTAGTATTGTGGATTATTTGACCTTAGCATTGTGGTTGCTATTATGAAACGTAGGATTCTTGTCTTGGAGTTTGGAGTTAAAACCTGGTGTTACCATCAGAGGCCAGAATTATTGCAGTTTACTCTTCTCTCACACCCACACTTGAAAGTTTTGTGGAACGTAGGGCTATTAGGAGGCAGGTGTGCCATTTTTTTCTCTCCACAGCACACAATCCAGTGCTGTGTACATATGCTCAGCAAATTGTTATTTGGTTCTTAAGTTGCTAGAGTGGTCATTTTTTAAAAATAAATTAGATATATCACTTCCCTGCCTAAAACCCTTCAGTATTTCCTGTTGCATTTAAAATAAACTCTATACTTGGGCCTTCCCCAATCTCTCTCCCCAGTTTTTAAAGTCACTCTTGTTACATTCCAACCACATTGATCTCCTTTGAAACATAAAAACTTTTCCTGCTCTGGGTCTTAGTGAATGTTATTTCTTTCTAGAAGACATAACCCTAATTTTAAACAGCTAAAATATCTTCAAGGTCCAATTTAAACATTTCAAAAAATAATTCCCCTCTAATACTCTATCTTAGCACTGTTTATTTCCTTCATAGCTTTTATTACAGTCTATACTTACTTTATTTCAGTGTTTATTCGTGTTGGGAACACACTGAACTGCAAGTAAACAATTTTTTAATTAAGAATGGCTTAAACAAATATGGCTTATTTTTCCCTAGTAACAGGCAGTAGACCGTCCAGGGTTGGTATGGCTCAAGGGTATGGACCCAAGTTCTTTGTCTCTTTCCACTCCACCCTCCACATTTTGGCTTGTCTCTTCCTAGTTGTAGTCTAGCCACTTAGGCACCAACTTTATGCCATAGCACTAACTGCCTGCTTTAAAGACAAGAAGAAGGGAAGGGTGAGGATGGCCTGTCTTGATTCCCCCCCAAAGTAGGTCCTGAGACAAGGACACAAGTTGAAATAGTTTATTTTTATGTCATCCTAAGAAACACTGGTGGGATAGTGGAGAACTGAGATAGGAAATGGGGAAAATAGGTATCCAGTAAAGGATTTTTTTATCAAGCTCTTACTCCTGAAGGTAACAACCCTGTAATCACACTGGAAAGCTCTACAAACCAGTGTAAAACATGTGCCTTAAATCATCCTATCAAAGGGACAAGGAAGCTTGATTTTACATCTAATCTCTTTAGTCATTTAGTGTTGCTAGGGGGAGAAACTAAACAGCAAAGCAGGCTTCTCTGCTCAGGTAGCCAGGGAAACCCCTCAGGCATATAAATGCAGGTGCTAGCCATTGGAAGTCTGGTCACTGTGCACTGAAGTAGTAAGACTTAGAGGATATGGGCAGAGGACTGCCAGTATCTGGCATACTCCCTCATCTATCTTCCTTGAATACAAATGTGGCATGTGGAGAAGCAGCAGCCATCCCAGTAGGCAACAGGCAAAAACCAAGGCAGTGAAAATGACCATGGAAAGAAAAGGTCTGGGTCACTGGTGGCATTGCTGAGCAGCTGAATCAGTGGCACCTACCTGTTGGTGTATAAGACATTTGGTTATGTAACAGAATTAATACCCTAGGGTATAAGTGGAGTTTTTATAGCCCATTGCAGTCATTAAAAATAGTGTGGTGGGTTGAATGCCACTGCCCCCAAAGATGCCCATGTCCTAATTCCCAGAATCTGTGAATACGGTACAGTACATGGTAAAGGGGACTTTACAAGTAAGGACTTTGAGATGGGGAGATTATTTGTAGATTATATGGGCTCAATTTATAACATGGAGCTTTAAAGTTTGAGAACTTTTCCCATCTTTGTGTAATGGTTAGAGATGTGACATTCCTGGCTTTGAACATGGAATGGGGCCATGAGCCAAATGTAGGTGGCCTCCAGTAACTGGAAAAAACAAGGAAACAGATTCTCCCCTTCAGCCTCTAGAAAGGAATGCAGCCCTGCAGACACGTTGATTTAAGCCATTGAGGCCCATATTGGACTACTAATGTACAGAACTGTAAAATAATATTTGTTAAAAGTTTTAAGCCACTAAATTGTGATTTGTTACAGCAGCAATAGAAAACTAATACAAGTAGCATGCAGATATAGAGAACAAACCCTTGAGACAATTGCTTGGTAATTTCTAGCAACAAAAATAAAGCCAATATGACTAGAACATGGTTAGGGAAGAAGGCCAGTGCCTTGCTTGGCAGAGCACTGCAATCTTAGCTAAGTTTTTGGCCTAAATCTTAAAAAACAATGAAAAGCTTTTAAGTGTGGAAGCAACACAATCAGATTTGTATTTTATAATATTTTGACTAATCTGTATAGAATGTATTAGAGGTAGGAACAACTGAGGGTCATTAATATTAATCCAGGATAATGATGACAG